TACACTTGAGTGCAGTTGTCGTCTGACGCTTTTCACCCCAGAGTTTGCATCCTTTTTATCAATAAGCTGACGTTTTTTCTGACTCATCACCAGTGCATTAGGTCATACATTTACAGGAAGCAGGCAGCTAATCTTGTTGTCTGACTATTAGTTCTGCACTTTGCCGAGCATATTCACACTAATGATGTGTTCCAGCACAGATTAACTGACTTGATACTACACAGAACACATGTTACCCCAAATGACATACAGGGCCTCAATAGTGACAAAAACCATTAGGAAGATGACCTGGGAGTACTGGCGTGCAAGTGGCTGTCTTTCTACATCCTGTACTCATTCTATAAGTGTTAACTTACCACCTTGTAATATTGTCAGTGTTATTTTAAGCATATCACAAAATCAACAGGATGTCATCTCTCTGAAACTGTTAAAGAAACAGCTCCAAGTAGCCCAATCATATTTGCCTTGATGCCAGGATTATCATGGTGTTTTCAAGATTCTTTTTCATCAAAGACAAACAATAACACAGAAAAAGAAGATTACGTTAGTGATAAACCAACAACATCTGAGTTACACCTGGTAAGATTACTGTTTTCTTTCAGGTCTCCCTTGAAAAAGAGATCGTTGATCTCAATGGGATTTTTTAACCTGGTTAAATAAAGGCTACAAACAAACAATAAGGTCTGGTGGCTTTGAATATAGCATGGATGGATAAAACTTCCTGAAATATGGTGAACACTTAAACTGATATTAAGTCTGGCAATAGCTACCTAAAAACACTCAATAATAGCGTCCACAGCGATTCATTGCTTAGCCTCGAAGACGTTACTTCTGTCTTTTTCTCTAAACTGGGGGCATGAAGACTGCCATTTGCTGTTTGTGTTACACTGAATACCTCATACAACCCTACTTCCAAAAATATAATATATCCCTTTAAGAAGCCACAGCTGTCTCAGCTCTTCCACAGTCACTTAGTGGCTTGTCTTGTTTCCCACTCATTTATTCAGATATTTCCTTTGGTAGAGAGAATAATCAACATCACCTTCTGCAGTCTTCCCCTCGTCTGACTTCGAACAGTCCTGTATGGAGGAGGGTTCAAAAACACCTGATTAACATTCAGACATAATGTTTTTCAACCCAGTGTTTTCTGTACAGCGTGATTATTTTCTCAGGTGTCTATCTTGTAACCTTCACTCACCACCCCTATTAGTCCTGGGTCCGTTTCAGTCTGTTTCACTGTCACCTGGATCACCGGACTGGTACGTTTCCGAGCCAACATCGTCATGGCAACACTGTCTGGGACTGTACTGCTCTTCCTATGAGACAAGGACAAGAGACGGGCGGAGAAAATAAACGATGAGGCGGAGGATTCAAAGTTGGGGAGTTTGTGGAAGTCAATACATAAACACTTTCAAATTAAATCATCTGACCTTCATTCCCAACCTCTGATGTTTTAAATTAGGATGAGAAAGCAGTAGAAATATGTGCCTCTGCTATTGCTGTATCATCTCTCCACAGGCTTAGAAATATAAAAGAAATACAGTCGCAGAGGGAACAGGAAGTGATACATTTGTCTCTGTGTAGATCAAGTGTGTCAGAGCGGGGTGAAGATCCCTGACCTCCCCTCATTACCTCATCCACCAAAGCTGTACTGAGCCTTTGAACTGAAGTGGAATGAGTCTATATCCCTCTCTAAAACACTTGATCACCAAGCCAATATGAGCTCAAAGAAAGGGAATACGAATACAGACATAGAAAGAGGAGACTAAAACTGATTAAATAAAAAAAGTATGTCAACAATTGTAACACACTCAGTCAGTATGAGTGCAATTAGTCTAAAAAGAGGTCTCAGACCCAAATGTACAATTTTATGTTAAATTATTAAGTAGTATCATTAGGGATTTAGCCCTCTGGCCTAGATATGGTAATGACTAGCTTGGCAGGGGAGCAGCTTGAGATACAAAGGGAAAACATTGGTTTGTTGAACTTATGTTGCTGTATATCTTTCTCAAAAGCCTCCAATATGAGGTAAAGTCAGATGTCTATAATAGTGTGAAAGAATATTTCAGCTCCCTTAAAAGGATCCCTCTGACTGGACAGTAGTTTCAGCATTATAAGTGTGAGGGTTTACCTGATGCTGGTGGGCAGGCAGGAGTCCGAGGCATTACTCTTCTTCTCCGGAGCCTTGCTGAGATCAGAGAGGCTGCTGCGGGCCACCCCCTCGCCCTCGTCGAACATCAGGTGCAGCCGATAGTTGGCCACCTTGATGAGGATGAAGAAGACGGTGATGGAGCTGCAGTAGATGCTCAAAGCCATGGTGGTAGGGGGCAGGGCCTGTGGAGAGGTAAGGAGACAAGAGCTTCATCATATGTCCACTAAAACAATGTTTGAACATCACTTCTCTTCTTATTGGTGGATTTCTGCAAAAGGTAAAGCTTATTTGCAGCCACACAGTTCCCGGAGTGAATTACATGCTCAGTGAAACAGAAGATCTAATTTGATTAACTGGTGGATTAATGAAGGTTATTGATCCCCAAGGGAGGAATGGCCCATGGGGGGGAAAAACAGAAAGATTAAAGACCCAGTATCTGCATCATGCTCATACATGTGTCATACTGATCTACAGAGATGCTTGCTGTGTTTAAAATAGACACTTGTATCTTCCGTTACAGATGCATAGTGTCTTTTGTGCTTACATTACTTTGTTATTCAACTTGGTATTAATACTTGCTGAGTGCTGCATGCGACCTTCAGATAAAATTGCTTGTAAACTTGAAATTCGAAACACCTCTCTCAGAAAGCATGTGTTGTTTTTGCACGGGAAGCAGTGGGTGTTTTCAAACAGACTTTGAAAAGTGTTAGTGACAACATTTTAATGGTGGCAACGCTCCTAAATGTGTCACTCTCACACCAGAGTATAGTTACTTTGCCTCACTAACTCTCATAAATGGGTATCCAATTTGGGGTAGCCCACAGTTCCTACAAATTAGCCCATGGGTTATTCTGTTGACACCGGAAAGCAGGGATATTGAGAGCAAACACATAATCTGTTTTATGATATGGAGAATAAAGGTTAACTGGTTGACATTGTTCCATTAGAATGTTATTGTATATCATTGTCACAAACAATAACAGACAAGCTGCAATCAGATAATCACCCTTTTAGTACTGCACATGGCTGTTGTTGCCATCATACTACACAGCTAAGGTTAAGCTGTTTGACCCATAACAGCGACTCTATTTTTCATCCACACCATCCTATGTATACGATGTACATATCAGTTGTGCCTCCTGACTCTCACATCATCCAGGAGCAGCCATGCGTTCCCTGCATACAGAGGAAAATACTGCGACAGTGCTGTTTTTTTAGCCTATAGTACTTCCCCATAGCAGCATCCAGACAATGAGGGATGTTGGATAATCCAAGCATGGATAAAAACGCGCATGAAAAAAACGCTACTTATGGCACCGTGAACATCTCACACCCCCTGAGAGGCCTTGAACGTCATGTTCCCCCATAATAGACTCACCAGATGGAGAGACAGGGGCAACATCAGGAGGAATATCCACAGATAGAGGTGGCAGGAGTTGTTGAATTTATTCTGGTCCGGGTCGTGGTACCAGCCCCCGGTCACAGATGCCCACACTCCCTGACGCAGGGTCTGCACAACCTGGGAGCCCATCTCTCCTGCTGTCTCCTCCTCTCCTCCGCTCAGGCTGGAAGGACGGATGATGCTGCTGCTAGGCTACAATGGTATGATCTCCTTTAATGCATGCTACTGTCGCTACGCCTCCATGTTGGGGCGATGCAGCACGTCTCCTGATCCTTCTCTCTCATGCCTCTTCGCTCTTCCTCGGTGGTGTCCTGTCGTCTGCCGTTTCACATCCCATTGTCGATTCGTCCATTGCTGCAGCCGCGGTCCTCATCTTGTCCTGTTCGTCTCTCTCCTTCTCCCTCTCCTCTCTCCAGCACAGATGCGCAGCTCCGACCGCCTCCCCTCCCCTCCCCGCCTCCTCCCCCTCCACCCTTTGCTATTATATGAATCAAACCTTCAGTGTTTGTCTGACACACGCTGACAGTTTTCAGTATACATCTGTCATTTTCTGTCATATACTAATCTGTGAATAATAGCTAGACTGTGTGTTGACTATAGTGTACGCATGCACACGTGTACTGTTTTTCTGTAGCCTATTGTTGTGGTTAAGGTTGTGTATGACATGCATAGGAAACAGCCGAATTCATTATGAAACCACGATATTAGGCTATAAAGGAAAGGCAGATAAATGTCTTTGTCTGATCGAGTCCAATATAAAAGAATGAACGAATACGAATACACATAAAGTACAAGAAAGCCTACAAAACAGATAGCATCTATGATACGTGGCCTACAAGGTAAAGCACAACAAATGGTGGAGTGATTAAAAGTGGTTTTATATTGCATTATTATTATTATTATTATTATTATTATTATTATTATTATTATTATTATTATTATTATTATTATTATTATTATCAGCAGTAGTAGTAAAGCATATAGGCCTAGTATATTTTTATGTTTGATGCTTGATCTATTTATTAGGATTGTTTTGTCTTTGTCTAGCAGCATGTCCATCTTCCTGTAGGTCTGCACTGTTCTTGTCACAGTGTGTGAGGGGGTTATACTGAGAGCCACTTGACAACAGAGTGAAATTCTTTGTGTAGGCTACCTCAATATAAGGCCAAAATAGCTTTAGTAGTACGGGTAGTAGTTATATTTTCACTTTGAAATTGTTTTCTTTTTCACATGGCTGGTGTGTGCATTCGTGTGTGTGGTGTATGTGTGTGTATATGTTTGTCATTTTATAAAGTCCGATATTCCCATAATTTCCCTGAAGGCGCGCTCTCCTCACACATTCCTATAGTAGCTCCTCCCTCCTCCCCCCTACTGCTGCTGCGGTCACGTGTCCTGTAATCCACCAATCAGAGGGCCCACAGGCAGCAGTGTGAGCAGCAACAGCAGCGTCCCCCTGATCCTCCGCACAGCAATGCTGGGTCCGACTTCGTCTGGTGACAACTGCGATGGGGGGGTTGTTTTGATAAAAGTTGATGGATTTTCCTAATCAAGTTTTTATTACCACATTCTTGCGTTGAAGTCCAGGATGTTTTTGGTTCTTTCTAGGTGTTCAACCGTTGGTCTTTCTTCAAGTCGCCAAAGGACAAACAGACGAACGTTGGAATAACCGATCTTAAAACTTTTTTCAACTGCCTAACTAGTCAGTGGACTGACCTATGCTAAGCTAACCCGCCAGCAAAAGCAGCTCAAAAACGTGGTAAAAGTCCTCAAACGAGCAAGATAACTTTATATTTCGGGATTCGTTGACTAGATGAGATTTGCTGGTGACTTTGTGAGAGAAACCTGCCTCTCGGAGCCTCGCTTTCGCCGGTCTGAGTGGACGGTGCAGGTGCACCTCTTGCGGCACCTGCGGTAACGTTAGCTCCATCGGTACTGAGCTAGCCTTAGCTTGTTAGCTTTCAGAAGAAGCAGATACTATGCTGTGGACCAGTTTATCTCTCATTGCATAGATTATTTGAGATTTAAGCCATGAGGTGTTAGTTACAAACGTTATACTGCTGTTCAACCGTCAGCCCTTTAAGTGCTGACAATAGCTGAAACATATTTCGGCTAACCAGCAACCTCGCTAGCAAGTTATTGACCCTCATACTTTTACCGGAGTGGCGACGTGGATAAGGGTTGTGGACGCTCTCTCCCACAGGACTTTGGACACGGTTTGATCCTCTCTGCAGGGAATGCCCCTCTGTTCTCATCAGCTAGTCTCATAGATGTGACAGCATGAGGATTTCAAAAAGTTACATTTTACCGTTTTAAAGTTTTGCTCTAAAAGCTCTGCACCCTATGGTGCCGCTACGGCCACCGAGAAATGGATGTCTCGCAGGCCGCTTTCCCAAACGGTGAAGGGCGGCCGGGCGGCGGTGAGACAGGGGAACATGCCTGGACAGACTGCCCCACAGCCCGGGCGTGGGCTCACTCTGCTCCGCTGTGCCCGACCCGGTCCCTATGGACGGCCGCGTATGACTACGAGGCAAGCGGCGAGGACGAGCTCAGCCTCAGGCGAGGGGACGTGGTGGAGGTGCTGTCCAAAGACGCAGCGATCTCCGGGGACGAGGGCTGGTGGACGGGTAAAATCAACCACCGTGTTGGGATTTTCCCCTCAAACTATGTCACCTACCAGCCGGCTATTTACCGTATACCTACTACGAGTGGGTCTGTGGGGACACGAGAAGTCCCAAGCGCACCCATCAATATCCCCTTCAGTGAACTGGTACTAGAGGAGATCATCGGCGTGGGTGGATTTGGCAAAGTTTACCGGGGCACATGGAAAGATCAGGAGGTCGCAGTGAAAGCGGCTCGGCAAGACCCTGATGAGGACATAGCAGCCACCGCGGGCGGTGTTAAACAAGAAGGGAAACTTTTCTCCATGCTGCAACACCCCAACATTATTAAACTGGAAGGAGTGTGTTTGGAGGAGCCTAACCTGTGCCTGGTCATGGAGTATGCCCGAGGCGGGACACTGAACCGGGCGTTGACCGGAAGGCGCATCCCTCCACACATCCTGGTTAACTGGGCCGTACAGATTGCACGCGGGATGCTCTACCTACACGAGGAGGCCGTGGTACCCATCATCCACCGTGACCTGAAGTCTTGCAACAGTAAGCCAAGATTAAAGTGTGCTTGATTGTATGTGTTTGTGACATCAATCATGATGAATAACCTATTTACTTATAGAAGAAAGTCCTCATTGGGGGAATCCACCTGTTGCACATGCATCCCTTCCTATTTTAGGCATACTATAACTATTAATAGTTTGTTCATGTTTGCTTAAGTTTCCTTTAGTGTTAGGTAACTATAGCAATTATTTAAGGACAACTCCTTTAGAAAAACTCTACATGTCAACCTGTCACAGATAAGATTGTTCAATATCATACTAATGTCTTGGGGCATTTGGAAATATTTACCTCATGCTCATATGTTATTAGAAAACATATTTCTGCTGAAATTCACATATTTCACAACACTGCTGTTGCAGCACTGCCCTTTACTCAGGATGGATTTAAGAGGTGTAAAAGGTCTGTGTGGGTGTATGAAGTGGTGGGGGATACCATCAAGAGGATGTGAAATAAAGAGTTTGCTCAGCTGGGATGCCCCCCACCTCCCTGCATTCAACCTCTCCTCCTTTAAAACACACACACACATACACACACACACACACACACACCTTCCCAGCCCCCTCTCAAATCCAAGCTGAAATGTTGTTCAAATAAAGTCAGTGATTTACCAAACACATAGTCAGACACACTCAGTCCACACTATCAGGCCATGTGCTTGACCAACCACAGCGAATACCAGAGGTCATAGGGTAAAAAGAAGTCAGGCAGACAAACTATCCACGTTTAATTATAGAGAAACCCCTTCACTCCAGGAGTGTAGTTTCACAATTAATGCAAGTGTTTATAATTAGAGAATGATAAATTAGATTGAGACTCTTGAGGTTTTGTCTGCCTTTTGAATAGTCATGTTGTAAGAACTCGGTTCTGTGCTTGTTCCTTCATGAGCTGTTCAGTGACAACACGCCAGCACACTTTAGTTTCCCAGGACTGAATAATGAATGGGTAGGACTCGATGAGAAAAAAAGAGTCTGAGTCATATACCCACTGACACAGGCTACCCACTTCAACTCAGGTGTGTTTATGTGTGAAATATGACTCCAAAGACTATTTCTCCCTTTGTGATCAGGGACTTATCAACCTGGGGCCATGTGGGGAACCACCCTGCTGTCTGTTCATCTCTAGCTTTGAGTGCCGGTGTGTGCATGTAGAGATAAAACATGTGAAATGTGCACAGAAAAGACCAACCTTAATCACCATCAAGATATTTGGATTGGATTTGAAAAACAAAACAAAATCCTACCACTGCTTCAATAGAGGATCCTGTTTTGATCGCCCACTTCGTACACGCATATGCCCAGTGATTATATGTGCTGCAACATGTCCTGAACACATGGTTATCTTCTCAGTTAATAAACAGCAGGGATAGTGAATGCAGTGTTTACAGTCTACTTATATTCACAGAAAAAGTATGTAAATTCTGATAGATCTAACAAATAACGCCTTCCAAACCCTAATATATTTGGAATACAGTGAGTATGCATGAGATTTAAACTGATTAACTCTCAAATGAAACTTTAACACAATTGTATTGTGGACAAACAGTCATTGTGTCGAGTGTTATTTTTGTATTATATATTACTTGGAAATAATACATTTGATATACATATGATGCCATGTAATGAACAGTGCAGAGGAGGAGCCCAACCCTATAGTCTTATTTAAGATGGCAGATTTGTGTTAATTACAGTCTACAGCAGATGGAGAGAAAGGATTTAATTACCATTTAGACTGTTAAAGCTAATCGGATGTTTGGTGAACATACACAAACAAACTCCCCCGAGCAGGCACAGTGCTGCCTGCGAACACAAGTCAGTGTGTTTGTCCTGCCACTTCACTGTGACATAGAGACAGCATAAGCTTTAGGTAAAGAGGGAAACCTTAAAATAAAGCTTAGGAGCTTAAAGGGGACCTATCATGCAAAATGCACTTTTGTACGTCTTTTATACATGAATATGTGTCCCCGGTGTTCCAGGGAACTCACCAAGTGTCCGAAAACACAACCCTCTCTATTTTCCTCCATACCCAAATCTCTAAAAACGGGGCTGCAACGGATCTGATACAGACTGATCCAGATTTGAACATTTCTCTGACGTCAGGACGGAGGAGCTGACCTATCAGGGGAATGAGAGGTTGCCGTGGCATGGTAACAGCATGGTAACACACACTCGACCACACCCCCCTCCTTTGCAGGGGGCTGTGGTCAGCTGCAGCACATGCAAAGACAGGGTGTAGAGCGAAATAGAGCGAAATGAGGCATGGCTAAAATGCATGATATGTTTGGTATTTTGAAAAAGAAAACGTATAATTATACCTTTTATATAGGTATGGCCCTACAATATATTATTCAAATATAGCATGATAGGTCCACTTTAAGTTTGTAGGCTTGTTGAATAAATATTCGATTTTATGAGTTCATTCTTGTCTTTACTGCACCTGTCCCCACTGCTAAGCTGTTAACCACAGAATTAGACCAACAAAGTTCAATTCTACCAACATTGTTCCTAGTTGCAGGTTGTAGCTCGTCCCAGGGTCAGAAGTCTGAGTTTCTGTAGTAAATATACGGTCTCGGATAAATAAAGAAAGAATGAAAGAAGCTGTATGTGTTTGCTTTGAATCAGGGCAGTGAGTTCACAAAAGACTCTCCTACACACAAACACACACAAATGGCACCCTGTGGTGTGCTGGGTTGTTTTCCCAGTAAAAACCTAGAATAATGCAGCTTAGAGAAGTTGTTGCATCTGCTGGTTAGGGCCTGTTGTCTGTTTGTCTTGGCATTGTGTGTGCATCAGTCTAAAAAGATAAAAGGACTGAGAATTATCTACGCAGGCGGTAAAAAAAAAAAATGATACATTGCAATAAGCGCTTGTTTATCAGCAATCTGTCACTTTTCAATATTTAATGAGCACCATGTTTGTTGGCTTGGCTTTGTGTCTTTTCTATTTTGGTATAAAATTGTTTCTCTCAGTGTTTTTCCTTAACCAGCCTACAGACAGGTACATACATACATCTACACTTCTGCACCTTCACTCAACCACTCGGCCTGCCATTTATCAACTCGCAGTGTACACATGCTCCACACAGTAAAAACATACAGCTATTTGATCAATGATTAGCCTGTAAAGTAATATGTTGGAAGTCAGCAAGATTTGTTCAATCTCTTTTGTGTTTTTCAACCTAATCTGTAAAATCCCAGCCTGCAGGGAGGAATGTTGCTAATGAGGGATAAAAGCTTAACATACGTTTGCACAATGGACTGGTCAAGCAGCGGTTGCTAGGCTACTGTGGCCAGAAGAATGGCTAGGACTCGGAGGGTCTCAAAGCCCTCGTTTTGTTTTGTTCCGTTCATATTTAATCTCCCAGAGAGCAGCGGTACTCTTTTATTGCCACAAACTGAGGGGGTTTCCTTCTTACTTCGTTATTTTTCTCCTTACTTACCTTTCTCCTGTTGTTCCTTTATGCCCCTCTTGCTCCTTGTTATTTTTCATGTCTACTTTTTGGCCAATGCAATTTTTAAACTTTAAATGCTTGCACATTAACTTTTTTTTTAAATATGAATGAAACTTACTAAACAAGTTCAACCCAAGGAATTTATCCTGCTAAAAAGTATTGTCGTTGTAGCTGCAACCTGATATAGCAAATTCCTGTGTGCCGTCGAGCTCAATTGTCAACCAAAATGACTTTACTAATATTGTTGTACTGGTATATTATCATATTAATTCATCAAAAGAAGTATTAGCAATGTAGTTTGTTTAGAAATGTTTCCAAAATGGCTACATGTATGCCATGCTCAAAGTAGTGGATCCATGTTTTCAACTTTTTACTATTTTGACCATAGACTGCGATTTTGGTAAGCTTCGAATATACTAGACTTGCTATGATAATTTGTAAATAAACATGTCCCCTAAATACAATAGCATGTCAGCAGAGATGTATGGACACAAAACATTACATATACATTCTGAAAACAGCCTTTAAAGGAATTTGTTTTGTTATCCTAGTCATATTCATTACATCTTTCCATTGATCCTTCCTTCTTTGCAATCTTACAACTTTGATTCAAAGACTCCCCCTAAGAGTAGAAGTGTTCATAGAGCAGTAGATAAGAGAAGAAATCTCACTGAAACCTGGCCCTGAGCCAGCACTCATAACCCACATCAACTTTGGATTTTCACATCTTGTTGCGATAGTATGTCAGGAATGTGTGCCAAACGCTACTGAATCTGACGGCGTTCAGTTTGGAGCGTGTGCAGCAGCATTCTCCCATCAAGTTTAGCTATTGTTAGACTTCATCACGCTGCATCGGTGTTCCCCTCCCTCTTCCCTGGGTCTTTATTTACTCAGCCATCACTCTGTAGATTTGTATGGCAGAAGTCGTAGAAGCACAGAACGGGGTTTCTTTTCTTTTTTCAATGCACTAAAATTAATACAGATTCCATTAATATATGAAGCACATTAAAATCTAATTAAGACACACATTTTCTCTCCTCATGCCCAAATTAAGAGAATAGACAGGCACTTACTATCGGTTAATATCAGTGCTAGCTTATTTTCATGCCTCCTTCATTTCATTTAGCCTGTTCCCCTACTGCTGCACCCTTATGTATTAAAATACTAAAGTGTTGTATATTGGTGTTTCCCTGTTGGGGAAACCCTGTTTTTAATTACTGGGTCATCTTCCTCCTGTTATTTCTCCGTTGTCGTGTTCTACGTCTGTAATAAGTTGAATTTAAGAGGAAGCATTACCAAGGCTTGACTAGGTGTTGCAGGGCAACTTTTCTCAGGCTTCCCACAATTACCCCTGGTGACACACAGACAGTTACTGCCTGTCTTTTCTCTGACCAGAGAATGGGCAGAGGGGAGAGAGGAGGAGTGGAGATGCTTTCACTCTGTTTTTTATGACCTCTCCCTGACTGCACCTATTGTTGCAGGGCAGGGTGAAAAGGAAAAGGGCCCACAGCTGAGAATAGCTGCCTTCTAAAGCAACCAATCCCCTCCGTAGCTCTCTAGCACATTGATAGATGCTTACAACAGCAAAAGGTACTGGTTGTACACCTTTTAACATTTGTCATGTTTTCATTTGCTTAGTTATGGGTCAAGCTTAAACTAGCAGGGGAAGAGGCCAGACAAAGAGCAAGTGGCCCAGAGAGACGTGACCATGATAGATGGATTTAGCCAGCCATTAGCTCTGATCCTTTCCCATCAACCAGAATGCCTGGGGGCGCTCTCATTGCAGCCGGGAGAGACGGACCAGTCGGGGAATGTTTTGCAGCCTTGTTGCAGGAAGCCCTCTTACTCTCATGCTCAGTCTGTTGGTACAGTTACCAAAATACTGCCACGTCAAGTTAGGAGGAATCACTCAGGATTTCTGCAGCAACCATGTTGCATCAATGCTTAGTTATGCCACAAAATGTTATGCTGAATTGATGCTTTGATTTGAAATGAGTAATAGATTAGTATACCACTTTAAAGTATGTTTTTTTAAAGTTATAACATAGAGAGCATAGTTCACAGAGCTCTGCCTGTTGCTAAAGATACAAGTAGTTTAACCATTTTAAATAGCGTTTTGGTTGTTTTTAATTCATTCCTCAGTACACAAGACTTTCTTGCTTTTCTTAGCTGTGCCTATTTGATATATGTATCCTACAGTATGCATGAAATACTAAAGGAACGGATTAGCTGACTTCTTTTATAAAGGGAAATTACTTACTTAAGAGTTAAGAGATGTATTGTCTTCTGATTGAGTAACTGACTGCAAATGTGCAAATATCTTCCAAAACCTTTTTTAAACATGTTCTTCACTTTCATTTATAATTTATGGTTAGTGGGATTCTAACTGTTGCAGGGCGTTAAAATGTAGGTACTTTTAGTTTGTTAAAGATAAAAGAAATGGCCATGTTTTCCCAAAAAGAGTATTGTTTTACTGTTTTACCTCGAGGGGTAGAAAGCAATGGGAAGAAGCGTGGGATCTGCTTTGAAGGCAGCAGCTCTGCCTCTGATCTTCCCCCTGTTTCCCCATGAAGGATGGGACTGCCTGAAGATCCACTGTTGGAAAAGGGAATTAAATGGGGGCTGGACTGAGGGTGGGGTCTGCCTTCGAGGCATATCCATCTCAAATTGCATTGAGCTGTTATTAGCTAAAAAAAACATTATCTTTTCAAAAGAATGAGAAAATACAGAGTAAGGGAAAAGTACGGAAAATAACACAAGACATTTGTAAATGCAATTTACAATGGATAAAATGATCTTAAATCATACTGAAACTAAACAGGTATCAAAGAACACGTTTCACTTTTTCAGCTGGCAAACCTAATAATCTAACATAATCATAACGTGATTGACGGCTACATAACGTTACATTTATTCCAGTTAACTTAACTTAAACCTATCTTGCAAATCTGGATGAAAGAGATAATAAGCTTTTTCATCAATTGACAAGTTAGGTTACTTTAAAAAATACTCTATTTTACCAACAATTTGAAGGCTTTTGTTGCATCAGAATCAGAAATAATTTGTTCGTCCTACGTTGGTACCATTTGCTATAACCTATGGCTATTTGCTTCCATGTAACAGTGAGAGTGTGCCGTTCATTCTCTCTTCAAACAGGCCTTGGATTCTCTATAGAAGCACAATAATACCAAAGACTGATTCTGTGCATTCGCTTAGCTCTGAGTTGCAGTCCTAGACACAGGTAAACAAGCATTGGCTATGTAGTGAAGATCTTAGCTTTGATGCTAACACTGCTAAGACTCGGTAGCCAAACAAAACAGCTAGCTGGTTTTGTAGCATCACGTCAGCATGGAGTCAGGTAGAGAAGGTCTTTTATCATACATTTCTAGAGGGCTGACACTGAAGTATCATGGCACTACAAAGAAAGTATTTGGCATGATATTCTATAGGCCAATCAACGCAGACGGGGTTACACCAAAACCACTGTTCTTCTAGGTTGTGTAACCAACCCATCATAAGTCATTCTAAACCTACAGAGCCTGCTGGGAGGAATCTATGGAATCACTGAGAGAGGACTTGACAACAGGAAGTAGAAGTATATCATTGGTGTAGTAAAACCTGTTTGTAATGGAATTCCTATTGTTGCCGCCTGGGTAGAGGATCCCCTCCGTGCCCTGGGCTAGTAATGGCACCAAAACCACTGCGATTAGTGGAGACCCATCGCAGTCAGACTACAGCTAACATACTGCCTGGAATCAGTTCACAATCTGAAACAGTGTCTTCAATGACAACAACTTGTTTTCACTAAGTTGGAATTTTCCATGCATGTGTTACTGTTTAAAGGTGGATGATGGTTGTTGCAAAATCAGAATCTGCTTTATTACAAAGGAGAAGGAGGTTTACATATTTATAGTAGAAAAAAACGACCACTGATATACGTTCAGGGATGTATTTGGTGTCGTACTGAAAAGTTGGAAATCAGCACAAGTTTATTACTTTTCGTCACACACAAATATCCCTGTGGAGCCTGTTTCTAGGTCTCTGTGCCAATTTCTCCCTCACTATCTGTTCTTGATGTCAACAGCTATCCTCCTTACTACCCCTCCTACACCTTTTCAGTAGTCCTGTTCCAGTCTTGACCCGTTGTTGTGTTATTAATGCAAGGAATCTTGTGTGGATTAAAGATCTGATTGTAGGTAAACCATACTGTACCAACAGGGTGACAGATGGCTAAATAAAGAAGTAGATGTATGGCTGTGATTGAGAATTTTAGAAAAGGTTTGTCTGTGCATATACTTTGGCAGCTTTTAGTTTGGTACTGTTGTGGAGGAGGAAGTCCAAGGTCAGTGATTGATAATAACACACACTTCACATCGCCTCTGTTAAAAGCTGTTAACAAATAGCCTTGAAACTGATAAACTTGTTCAAGTATCCCTTGTGATACAGTATGATACTTGAATGCCTTGGAAGTTTATTCCAGTGCTTGCACTATGTATCTTTATCATTCTACCTCTTTTTTCCCATGGGAATATTACCAAGGGAGTGTATGTGTCAGCAAGCTTTGTTTTAATCCTGAGTGCCTCTTGAGTCTCTCAAGTTGAAGTTTTTCTGCTAGCTTTGCACACAACACAGCTGATAGGACGAGATCCAATTGACCTGAAGTGTTAGGTCTGCATGTAAATAATGAAATGAGACGGTTTGTAACGTAAGGAGATCTTGGCAGAGGAAAAAACAAATGTTGAAAATAATACCAAGAGGATCAACAAAATCCAAGAGTGTTGAGGCTGTGATGCACCACTTCATGGAAGGGATGTTTTTGTTGTCAGAGATATAAAGGATATAATGTGGCTGTTGTATCAGCACACAGAGAGAAGGTTTATTGTTATTGAAAAGAAACATTGGACATTGAAACAATAGTTATACTACCCACTCGCTCGTCACCTAGCAAGGCACAAGTTCCTTTGTCTTGCTTTCTTCTGCTTTCTTCTTCTACGTGGAAGCTTAATATTCACTCTTCCGTATTTCATTATGACATTGACTTATTAGTTACACTGCTTTCTCTTCGATTCATTTTCCTTTTTGAGCATTTTCTTGAATTGACTGGCAAACTTTTTTGTTGTTGCTCCCCATTGATTTCATGGACTGATGAAGGTCTGCTCATAAAACACCAATAGTTAGAGCAGGCAGCCCGTCATTGTTCATTTGAAGTGAATGTACTCACAGGTTTCTTGCTGTTCTGAGTTTGTATCTTAATGGTTGACTTTGTATGCCGCTGGATAAAAGCATCAGTTAGATGAAATGTTATGTGTATATATAATACTGTATCATGACTAAATGCAGTAATGTGTATCCAACTGAGTTAAAACTGGTCTAAAATCATATACAGCTGTTTACATGAGAACATAAAGGGGGGTTTAACACATAACAGGAACTCTTACATGATGTGGCTGTAATATTATTGCTGAATAAAACTTGTCAATGTGTGTAGCTTCGCTGTGACAAAGCTCAAAGGATAGTGTTACGGCCGCTCTGGAGGGCTCCGGCTGTCTTTAATGTGTTAAACAGTTTTAGGACCGGAGGACAGGTGCTTTGTGGCGCTGTCAACCTTCTGTTTCTACAATAATAAACGACCTGCATACCTGTGTTGACCCTTTTCCAGATCCACTATCATCTCCTCACCCTGCACAGCCATCTTTCTCTCTGTCCCTCCCTCTTTGTATCTCCTTTTCTCTTCACTTGTCTTTCTCCTTTCTCCTCTAACCCCCCTCACATGTGTCACTTTCATCCCAATCCTGTCTTTCCACTTTTCCCTTCCTCATCACTCATCGCTTGTTATGCCCTCATCTATCTTTTTTTTTATCTTCCCTTCCTGCCTCCTTCCCACTCCCAGTCTCTCCCATGGCCCCTCCCTAACGTACACCTCTCTCTTTTCAGTTTTATTATTTGAAACGATTGAGAATGACGACATCGGGAGGAAGACCTTGAAGATCACAGATTTCGGCCTTGCCAGGGAGTGGCACAGAACCACAAAAATGTCAGCTGCAGGCACGTACTCCTGGATGGCCCCCGAGGTCATCAAGTCATCACTCTTCTCCAAAGGCAGTGACGTCTGGAGGTATGACAGAGAGCATACTGCAGAATAAAATACCTTCTGGTAGTCATTTGCCTGACATTATTACCAATTAATTTTGTTTAATATCCCTCCCTCTCTCCTTTACTCTCTCTTCCTTTTCCTTCCTTTGTCTGTGCGTCATCCAGCTATGGCGTCTTGCTGTGGGAGCTGTTGACAGGGGAGGTGCCGTATCGCGGGATAGACGGCCTTGCTGTTGCCTACGGTGTGGCGGTCAATAAATTAACGTTACCAATCCCCTCCACCTGCCCAGAACCCTTCGCCAAGCTAATGGAAGGTAAATACGTTAAAAAAGAATTTCAAATATATTTAGTTTATTGTTTTATTTGAATTTCACACTAGACCAACTGCATGAGGAGTATAGAGTGCCACAGTGACGCGTCCTAAAACCCGGAAGTAAACTCCTTCCGGTTCCTTCGACAAAAACCTCATGTCTACCCTACTTTTATAATTTTCTAATCATAAATCTATCGATTAGATTTATGATTAGAAAATTATAAAAGTAGGGTAGACATGAGGATATTATCCGGCTGAACAAAACGTGATCTCTCTCTTCAATTTGTGTCAACCACAAACCTTAATTTGAGCTATTTTCCAACATCCTATGGAGAAATTGCATTGGTTTTTGTCGAAGGAACCGGAAGGAGTAAAATGCTAACTTACTTCCGGGTTTTAGGACGCGTCACTGTGGCACTCTATAATGTATAGATTATACCATTTGTGGTACATTTAAAGTTTTTATCCGTTGAAAACAAAGTTCCGTATTCATCAAAAATGTATTTTTCTCAGTACACAAGTCTATAGACAAAAACATTATCCCTTAATTACCCATATTACTATCAATAAAACATAAAATCGGCCTTGTCTTTAGTTATACTTATAAAAACATTGGACAGCCATTAAACTAGCCTGTTTCTATTACTTATTGTTTATACATTAAGGTAGCTGTACACACAGGGCTCATTTACTTTCAATTCAATTATTCTACTAGTTTTTCATTAGTCAATATGTGTGGGATGTTGGGTGAAATGTTTCCTTTACAGATTTTGGGTAGACTTCTTATTCTTAGGCATATTCTTAGTCAATAACTGTCAGAGCTTGCCTCCAGGTCTATTTGGGAATATCCCATTACTGGAACAATACATATATATGTGTCAATCTCTTCATTGCATTGTTTGTGTCCAGAATGCTGGGACCAAGACCCCCACGTGCGTCCCTCCTTCTCCTGCATCCTGGAGCAGCTGTCGGCCATCGAGGAGGCGGTGATGGCCACCATGCCGCAGGACTCCTTCCACAGCATGCAGGACGACTGGCGGGTGGAGATCCAGGAGATGTTTGATGAGCTCAGGACCAAAGAGAAGGTCAGACATCCATATACTGACATTACACCATAGAAACCTATCCTTATTGTACCTTTCTCTACATGTTGAATTATCTATCATAAGCATTTAGTCTAACCATGCAGAGTTGCCAGGGACAGCTTTTAACGGACTAAAAGCCTTAATTGTTTACTTTCAGTGGAAAAGCTAATCGCCATTTATAAAAACAAGTGATTAATGCCAAGGTGCTTTGGTGTACTTCCCCTTGTTAAGACCTTAATCTGCTTCCTGTTTAAATCCCCCATCGCTGGATTAAAGAGGGGGGGGTTAATTAGTGTTTGTAGAAAACAGCAGGATCAGCACACAGAGCTGGATCAACGCATGGTCAACTGAATGACACAGATACTGAAAACTCTACAGGTGTTGTTTTTTGTGTTTGCATTATAAATGTATGTATTCTACCTGATGCTAAACCACCTTTTTATCACTAACTTACACTTATTACTTAAACACTTAACAATGATATAGTTATATGCCTCACAATGACATAAAAACCTTAAATAGTTTGCCCGCTTTTTAAAGATTTCCAAAGATTAAGGGAATAAATAAATCCACTACATCAGCACATTTCCTGTAAACGTCACACAGTAGTCTGTTTTCTAGGTGGGTGGCTGAAGTGGCTTCACTGTAAAGCTGCTTTATGGAAGTCATCCAGTAAGGATTATTATAACTCAGCTGAGAGCAATTCAAAGGAAAATGGAGGGAATGAAGAAAGAGTAAGCCATGGGAGGAGACGAGACTGGTTAGCTTTGTAACACGGCCTGAATCAGCAGGCAGTAATCTCCTGAAACCGACATGTTATCGAGGGGGTTATCGAGCAGACAGCTAACACTCACGCTCGCCTCACAGCCGTCTGTCTGCAAGAGCTTTTCTCGTTTTGTGGGAATATTTGTAAACCTGAATATCCACGTGGCCATGTATGGACTTTAGGAAAACTAAACTGTGACAAGGAGCACACATCATACATAAACATGACTAAGTACCTCACAGTTTAATAATAATCCAGAGTGGGCCTTAAAATACTTTCTGGATCCATACGGTATTTTCTCTCTGTATAAGCAATGTAAATATTATTTAAAATAAATCAAAAGAGCACTCCACTGTAGTAGAACCAGACATAAAGTGTTTTTTTTGCGCATGAATTGTGTTTACACCTACATTACCCATCATGCAACGTGACTGCCTCTGTTTTAAAGACTTTACCCATCTGTTGTAACCTGTAACAGGGCTCACTGGAGCTGAAGAAAGTCTGTCTTTGTGTTCAGTTGTAAACGACTGTTTCCCTGGGCCTGTCAGTGTGTCGGTGTACCCATGACAACAGAAGTCTGTGTGCCCCTCTCTCTAACCATATGTGTCTTAACACCTGGTTCCTCCAGGAGCTACGTTCCAGAGAAGAGGAGCTGACGAGGGCCGCCCTCCAGCAGAAGTCTCAGGAGGAGCTGCTGAAGAGACGGGAGCAGCAGCTGGCGGAGCGAGAGATCAACGTGCTGGAGAGAGAGCTCAACATCCTCATCTTCCAGCTCAACAAAGATAAGCCCAACGTGAAGAAGAGGAAAGGCAAATTCAAACGTTCCCGCCTCAAACTGAAGGATGGAAACCGCATCAGCCTGCCCTCAGGTGAGTGGATAGTTGTCTTGACCAGGTTTTATTCATTATTTTATTATTCCTTCATGTACAGACATTGAGACAAAGTTAGAGACCATCCCAATGTTTTGATCATTCCGGGGTGTTTTCTTGTCATTTTATTGAAATTCATTATCTCAAATCCTTATAGTATGCAGTGTTTCCCACAGAATTTGATTCTATTTGTGGGGGCACCGCACCGTCCCCGTCCCCGTCCCCGTCCCCGTCCCCGTCCCCGTCCCCGTCCCCGTCCCCACATTTGGATAGTATTTGTGTGCCAGTGGTGCAACATTTGGATTGTGCAAGCATTTTACTAAGAGTGTTGTGTGTAATCTATCAAATTGTACCTATTCTGTGATTTTAATGACCATATGTGCTTGTTCTTTTTTTGCTTTCCAGACTTCCAGCATAAGATCACGGTGCAGGCGTCGCCCTCCATGGACAAGAGGCGCAGCCTTCACAGCGCCAGCACCTCTCCCCCCAGCAGTCCCACCCTCATCCCCCGCCTACGAGCCATTCAGCGTAAGTCTGTAGTTTACCTCAGTGTGAGGTCTGATCTTCTCCTGCACCTGGATTAAGTCAAATCAGTGTTTTATTAAACACATGTTAGTGTTCTTAATAAATCACATCAGCTCTCTGAGAGTGCTATGTGAACTGGGAAAATGGGAACCGTGTCACAATGGCTAGAGCCGTGTGAACAAAAGCTCCAGAGCCGCAAGTTGTCAGCCAGTTGTTTGAACAGTTGGATGATGTTGTTAGTCTCGCACCAACGCCCTTGCAATAACTGGAACAAATTCCTCTTGAGCATTAATGGTTGATGCTGGTCTTTAGACTGTATTTGTTATGATTAGCCTCAATGAATCACAATTCACAGACCTTCTGTTTAACTAATCTTTACCTCATGTTGTGTTTCACAGCGCATTTTGAGGTAGGCTCCTAGCTTAGTTAAACATTGGATAGTTAATGTTGGCCTGTGACCTAAGAATTTCATTGTCACTACACTGTAGCTATGTACCAACGACAATACAAGCCTTGAATCCTTGAAGTTGGTCAGAGGTAACATGCATGTTTTCCTCCTCAGTGACGTCCCACATGCGAAAGGACAGTTTGTATGTTTACCAACAGGAAGTTGATCTGACCAGCGAGCTCACAACTTCCTGTGGGCTCAGGAGGAAAGGCAAGCTATTGGCTAACCACATGCAGAGCGTGTGTGGCTAACAGCACCAAGCGCTGCATGTGATGCTCGGCTCACTGACAGTAATAGGGTTTGAGGCCTAACAGCTTTCACTGGGACTGTATGTGATGATTGACAAGGTTTCCCTGATTTGATCCTTTTAACAAAATGTTGGTGTTTTTGCTGCTGTTTAAAATGGTTCCACAGGTACTCTAATGATGAGGTTATTGCCACAGACTTGGGCCGTCAGCTTTCATATTTGTTCTTTAATCTTTTTATATTATTTGGTTGGAATAAAATAATTGGCCCTTTTTTAAAAACATACTGGTATGTACTGGCCCGAGTCTGTTGCCCGGAAATCTTTGGTGGATCATCTTTTCACTCACACTTTCACAATGACTAACCCGCAGCTATAAAAAGCTTTTATAACAACAGCTTTTGGGGGTTTGGTGTCTTCAGCTTTTTGGTTTGAAATGTTCTTAAATTAATACACAAAAAATCTGAATCTTCCCTGAATGAGACTCTGTTAATAAATAATTAAAAGAGTATATCAATCAAGTGTAGAATGGCATTAATTCCCTCCACTTTGAAGAGAGATTGGCGTAATCAGACTTTTTAACTTATCTTTGCAACATATTTGCAGTGAGATAGATCTGATATCCTCCTTCAGTAGTTTTTCGTTTATGGTAACATTTATGGTCCTGTGTTTACAGTAACTCAAGATGAGAGCAACCGTACATGGGGCCGCAGCACCCCCTTCAGGCCGGAGGAGTTTGAGGATGTGAGAAAGGGAATCAAGAAGAAAGGAAGAACCTGGGGCCCCAGTTCAGTCCAGAGCAAAGAGAGGCCTGCTGCTGCTGAGAGGTACAGTGTACACACATTGTTGGCTCCTGACCCTAAACATCCTCATGTCTAAATGTTAAGATAGGAAGTGATACGTTTTGATATGTTTTTCTTTTACACAGAAATATACAATACAAAGTAACATCGTACCACAAGCAAGAGGCTACTACAAGTCAACATTTTCAAATGTTCATGTTTTCTTGTCCAAATTGTTTTCAGAGTGCGCCCTCTGTCAGACGGCAGTAACCCCTGGTCCACCAGCCTGGTCAAATCCCAGAAGTCTGTCCCCCTCGCCGCCCTGTTTACTGAACAAGGTCCGCTGGAAATCCATTGTGATGATGTGCATTTTAAAATGCCTCAAGTGAATAATAACTGTTGACTGAACATATTTTTAAATCTAAGTGTTTGTTTACTTTTAGTTTACTTTACATTTTTTGTAATATTGTGTAATGTCCCTGAGGTTTATCAAACAAACACAATTCATTAATTTGTTGTTAAGTGGCAGGGAACTCTACTCTGCCATAAGATATTCCTAAATAGGGGAAAACACATGTATGCAATGCTATCAGTATTCCCACGTACTGCATGTCTTTGAACCAAGGGGTTTTGAGAATATATCCTATCATATATACTTTATAACTGATTTCCTCTTTCTGTGTCCAGCGGGCGGCGGTAAAGACGAGGCGTTCTCCCAGGATTCTCCTGACAGCTCCAAGCCAAAGCAGCTCAAGTTCCCCAACCAGGTGTACATTGATCTACCTATGTGGAGGGACGAGCAGCAGCCTCAGAGCCCCGCCGGGCATTGTGGGTCGGGGGATTCTGGGATCGGCACAGCAGGTCAGGGCGGCGCTCCGGACACCCCGGACGACCCGTACACCACCACCTCCACCTCGTCCAGCTCCACCACCCCCCAGCTCACCCCCACCAACAGCCTGAAGCGGGCATCGACGCGCCGTAAGACCGACTCGGCGCTTTACGGCTGCGGCGCGCTGCTGGCTTCAGTGGTGCTCGGTTATGACATCAGAGAAGCTCTCAAGAACTCGGCTCCCGTGGAGGACTGCGAGCCCCAGCGCGAGGAGAAAGAGAAGAAGAAAAAGGAGGGGCTTTTTCAGCGGGCCACACGGTTCCGCCGCAGCACCTCGCCACCGAGCGGACGACCCCAGAAAAACGAGGCATCGTCAAACCCCACCGCCGCTCTGCCGGTCAATCTCATCTCCATGTCGGCCATTATGGAATGCAACTCCAACAAGTGTCTCGGCCAGCCACAGGAGGCGGCTGCGGTGAAGACCAGCCCGGGGAAGGTGGAGCCTGTGGCGGCCAATCATCACACAGAGACATCCGGACCCATCGCAGCAGTTCCTACAGAAGGCCAGAATGACAGGACTGCAGCTAACACACAGACACCAGTGCAAACCAAAAGCCAGCCGACAGAGCAGAGCAACAACAACAACACAGGGCCACGTCTGCGCAGGAAGAAATACTCCACCAACCACAATAGTGAGTATCACAAAACATGGGGAAGCGCAAGGGAAATAAGCATGTGTATATGGCCTTAAAATATCGAATGTATGCTCAAATGTATCTCCTCCTTCTGTTTCCAGCCACTCTGCCTCCTCCTTCCACGCAGAAGAAGCAGCAGAAGGAGGTTTCAGAGAAGCCCTCTAAAGGGGAGGCGTTCTCCAGACCCCGGCCCGTGTCCTTCAGGGCCAAACCCCACGCCTGGGCCCTGCTGCGGGGGCGCAACAAGAGCTACTCCCTGGGCCACTACTCCGGGGAGAAGGCGGCTAAAAACATAAGCGTGGTGCTGTCCTCCGACGTGGGGATGGGCTGCTCGCTGCTGGACATGGACACGGAGGGCCAGAAACGAGACTGCACGGTGCCGCTCTGCCGCATCCAGAGCTCCCCGGGGCGGGCCTCCGTCTTCGAGCTGGAGAAAGAGTTCCTCTCGTAGGAGCTGTATGAAGTGATCTGCTGGGGTCATAGCTCATCCCGTACAATCTAGAGAGGTTCAGAACGTTTAGATAGATTTTTGGCCTAAAACTCCTGGAGGGTTTAGAACCTGGCTGCCTTTTTTCTATGTTTTAAAAAAGGTTCTATCACTTAGAACCCCGCTGTGTCTTTGTTCTAGAGCAGAGACTGTGTCCAAAATCATTCACTCGCTCACTATACTGTATGTAAACACACTCCCACTGAAAATACTCTATATAGTCTTTCTATAAAAGCTTTTTAGAGCTCTGTGGAAACACAAGTACAAAAACATATTTGGGTGTTTTTTCCTCATCCAGCATGTTTGATGCAGAACGTTAAAAAAAGTGAAATGATTAAGATAACAGTTAATGAGAAGAATAACAATTAAACCATCAAAAACAATAATATTAGGTTGGAGAATTTTAGCTCCAATACTTCAAGTTTGGTAATGCCAAGTTACTACTCATATGTTTACATAAGGCACACCTTTTAGCAGAAAATACTCAGCGGCCACTTCAAATGTTATTACATAAAATTGTATTAGCAATTTTTTATTTTCAGTATAGAAAGTAAACTCCTTCCGGTTCCTTCGACAAAAACCACATGTCTACCCTACTTTTATCATTTTCGAATCATAAATCTATCGATTAGATTCACGATGCATTGTGGGATACTTTTGAGTCCATGAATCCCGACTACATTCTGAGGCACATAGGAACTAAAGTCAGTCGGTGAGCAGTGAGTGATTTTGGACGCAGCCTGAGCTCTAGAACCGTGGCGTGGCAGCAGGTCTACGATGTTCCCTCCCGGTCCAACACACTGCCTTGTCCCATTTGGGAACACTCTGGAGTTCTGAACATTCCCAGCATCCTCTGGTGCTCCTCTCTCCCCTTTGTTACCTTCTTCTCTCGTTCTGTCGGTGCAGCTAAACGTTGACCGCTGCTGCAGCTTTCGCAACACAATACCCTCACCTTTTTATTTATATATATATTTTTATAGGTAATTTAATATGAAGAGACTTGACCTTACCTTAGCTACCAGCAGGACATACATTCCATGTCAGTTTCAGAGTTGTGCGATCACGCTTTTAGATTTGTTGACTTGAGAATCATGCATGCATGTACCCTTAAAATGTTGAACAAAAAAAATAATTTGTAAATATTTCTTTTCTCCCAGTATCAGCCTAATGCTGGCAGTTGTTTTGTATTGCATATATGCTGTTTTATGAGTGTTTTAAAGTCACCCATGCTGCAGTACCGTTCGTGTTCTAGAGACGGCTCGCACACTGGATCGGAGCGAGGATGAAAGTGTGTTTTCTTCCCAGAATGCCCTGACGATTTTAGCCATGCAGGTAGGAAAACACTGGAAGTCCGACAGAGCACACATGGAATCTTTTCTACGTTCAAAACTCAAAAGGACCTCTCTGATTGGCTAGGCCTGTAAAGACACAGCATCATTTCAGATTATTAAGCAGCCCGGGAGTGGCCACATTGGAGAAATATGTACAGAACACTGAGTGCACAAAATGGCTTACTATAAACACACCCTGTGCCTTTAAGAACAAAATGTCTAAATGAAATCCACATTTTTTTTTTAATAACGTGCGTAAACTTTAAACTGAGCCTTGATATCGAGTTGAGTCAGAATCTAAGTGTTCTATTTCTATTTTTACACTTTTGTAGCATTAAACAAGCAGCTTTCCCATGAAGCCACATGTCCATCTCATCACGTTCAGGAGGGACATTTGAGAACAGAATTTCACTAAAAGACATTGAAGACAGTTTTCTATTATTATACATACTATGATTTTAGAGCCAAGTGAACGGCTTCCTCAGGATTAATTCATGGTAAGTTGATTTAGTTTTCTCCAAACCTCTATGAACTGAGGTGTGACTATGCAGGAAATATACTGTACCTCTTCCTATGGTCACTCCCGGGCTTTCTCTCCTCAAATTGAACAAATGAACTTCTTCTTCGTTAAAACTGACTGATTCTTGAATCCCCCTGACTGCTATCCCTGTCTTCCTCCTTCAGTCTGTTTTGGAGAAGTTCAATAGAAAATGTGTCCCGCTTTTGAAGGACGAACCAAGGGCTCATTTGTAGAAAGGTACGAACTTCCAAATGCTGTAAATATAATTGTGATTCTGCTGTGTATATTACTGTGGCATCTGATGATGGGTTAGAATGTGAAGTACCCCATGTTCTGCGTTTTTATGACCACTGACTGTCAGAGCAACACACTGTAAAGGCCTTACTAATCACCAAGCTGTCAAAGGGGCAGTTTACAAGCCAAGATATCACTGGATTTACCCTTTTTTATTTTATTTTTTTTACACATGAAGGGTTATCTGTAAATACCATGATGCACTGGTGCTGTATATTCCCCTAAACATATTGTATTACAGTCTAAAGCCTACAGGTTGTTTACAGCAACAAAAAGAAAGGTTTTGAAGGCAAACGATGACTGGACATTCCCAAAAAGACATTCCACTTCATTTGACAAACTGCAGCATGATGTGTGTGATGGCGGTTCTCCATAAGGTGCATTCAGGCGTCTGGCTAAAGGGACCAAATTGAACTCTTCCAGCTCTAAGGCCTCTGTCTTCAGGACCAAAACCACTAAATGAAGTAGCTGCTAGCAAGGAGTTCTTACACAGAAAACAACTCCGTACGAAAAAACTAAAACCTCAGAGGCGTAGTGCAGCCCGCCACCTTCCGATCAAATAACACGACTTCCTGTTTAATGCAACACTTCCTGTAAATCACTGAACATCTCGGTCAGGTTAGCTTTGAGTACATCTGTTTCAGTGAGCGTTTTTTGTTATCATTACAGTATTGGTTATTTCACGCCTGATTGATCAAGAGTATCAAGTTTATCAACATTTTGAATAAAGTCTAAATCAAGACTAATGACAGGTCTTTGTTCTTCTTTATTCTGACGTATAATTACTACAATTATTTCACGCTGTTTTCTTCTTAAATCTGACATTTTCAGGTTCATACTACAATGTTTACATGCTTTAATGTTCATACATTTTTCATACTAATTTTTAGAATCACAGCTTGTCTTGTGGCAGTTTGTGTGTTGGTAGGCTTTACAAATGTACGTTCATAAGCAATGAAAATGTGTTATTTTTCATAATGTATTACTTTAAAGCTCAATGAGCTTGGGGCTGAGTGGCACAATCACTGTAGGGAAGACATAAAGTATTAAGCAACAGTATAAATACGTTTATTTTCATCCTTTCATGGGATAAATAATATGGGAAGAATAACAACAGCCTTATCATTATAGTTTCAAACAACTGAAGAAGGACAGCTGAAACCCAATGAGACAGAATGACCAGTGTAAACAGTGTCTTTGGCTTTATTTGTAACATGACATGTACAAAAGAAAACAGGTTACATTTTCAAAGTATTGCATCTGAATAGTGTCATGGCTTCAAGGTAATGCTACAGTAATCATTTTGCACAATATTTGTCCACTTTAAAGAAATGTTAAGACGGCTAGATTTATTTGCATGTGTGAATTACATACAAAAGTACACTGTGTGGTCACTTATGAAAACTACACATTTCCTATAACTGAATACATGGAACTGTAATGTAACCAATATGTTGAAATGTGTATGAAAACAAGCGAAAACAACACTAAACTGCTACATATTAGTTTTCACCTTTAACTCACGGGTGTCCTGACGTCAAGTGTGTTGTAGTGTGTCCTTATTGAAAGATAAACTGTGCTACATCAAAAAATAAAATAAGATAAAAACTAAATAATCCTAACTAAGGGTCCACTGACTAGCGTGATCTCACTCATTTGCAGTGAAAAGCTAGTGAGTGTAACTTGAGTTAGAATATTTCAGTCATATGCACTTCAACATGCCGGATCAATAATGCTTTCAGGAATAGAGCCCAACTTTTATTGGCAGGTATTTATGGCAGCAGCGTTGGAGGTAGTGATGGATGAAAAGTCATTCAGTGTCACGTTGGTAGTCTACAGCAAAGAGAAGAAAGAACAGAGAGCAGTGAGACAGAAACTAAAGTAATACCTGTCAAGGTAACATTGTCTGCGCTCCACACATCCATTACCCAGATCTAAAAATAGCGCAGGGTGTGGTGAGCGCAGGTAATTATAGTGATTGTGGAGAAACTCTTATGTTTCTTCTCACAGGAGTTTCATGTCCGCTCCCTCTCTCTGTCTCGCTGCCTCAGGCCGTGGATACCACACACACACACACACACACACACTCACACACACACAGACACACACACACACAGTCACACAGACACACACAGTCACACAGACACACACACACACACAGTCACACAGACACACACACATGCACACACACACACACACACACACACACACACAGTCGCAGACACCAGTACCCAGCAGAGGAACGTGACTACATGTACTCAAGTATTTGTATTTAATGCTATTTGAAACTTCTACTCCACTACATTTCAGAGGCGAATACCCCACTTTTTACATCTACATCTATTTCACACTCACAGTTACTTTGTGCATATAAGACACATGATGTGCTCATATGGTATAATGCAGTACTACTAATGTACACAGTATTTAAAGTATCTAAAGTTGGTCCACATTGATAAACTACAATACTTAAATGTTCTAACATGTATACAAACAGGATCATTAAATAACCATAACAATATAATATTGAAAAGACCCATTCTGCATAACAAGTACTTTTCTTTTGGTACTTGAAGTACTCTTTACTGTACTATGTAATTCTGAAGTGGATCATTGTGCAGAATGAGCACTTTTACTTTATGTACTTTAAGTACATTTTGATGCTAATACTTTTGTACTTTAACATAACCTTTTGAAATCAGGACTTTTCCTTGTAGTGGAGTATTTTAAGACCATTGTGTACTTTACTAAAGTTAAGGTTCTGGGTACTTCTTCCAACACTGCCTGCACCATATTCTCACGGATAGAGTAGCTGTTTACCGCAGTGATCTGCACTTTGACTCAACAAACAACCTTAAATAAACTGAAAATGTGTACAAATATTGAGGAAAAATCTGTTTCTTTGGAAGAGGTTAACAGAGGTTAACACTTCCAAATGTGTGTTTATTGTGTGTGTTCATACCTGTGTGTTCAGAGGGTGGTGACACACTTCACGGCGCTCCGAGCGCTGCTCTTGGCGTGCGCGGGGATCAGGGTCTGGGCTTGGAGGCAGTATTTGGTTTTGTGCTTCAGATCTTTCAGAGTCAGCTTCTTGGAGCAGCAGTCCATATCAAACACCGTCTGCAGAGGAGAGGAGACAAGAGCGTGAGAGGGCGTTTGGTTTGGACTTTAATGCACAGTGGTTCAAGTGAGACTATCTCAACAAAAGATTTCAGGAGTCTGACGGCAAATGTAACCTTAAAGAAGACATTTAGGAAATATATGTATGAAAAATGTAGGTTTGGTTTCTCAATGTTTCTCTTTTATTTGAGTTATTATGAGTTTGTTTTTGGTTTGTTAGTCTTTTAGAAAACCTGCTTGCCCAATTGTAATGAAACTTATTGGATTGGTTTGGATGAACCAATTTGACCCATTAAGCTTTTGAAATGGATTTGAATCAGGGGACATTTGATGTTTCTATTGGAAACGGCACATGTCTGTGCCTCCGAGTGCCCTTAGTTGTTCTTGTTTTTGTTCTTGTTCTTCTTCTGCTCTTCCCCTTTCGCCTTCTCTCCCTCATCTTCTTCCTCTTCTATTAGTTGTGAGAGTTTTGATGTACTTTTTTTTATAGTGTACACATTGAAATATTAAATGTTATTACTTTCCAGGCTCGAAAAATCATCCATTTTGATTGTTACCACAGTGATTTCCTTGCTGAAAGGTAACTGGTCAGTCGATCGACAGAAAATAAATCTTCAACAAATATTTTTATGATTAGTTTGCAGACTCTTAAAAATGTACAAATACCATTTCGTTTTTCAGTGTTATATCACCACCTGGTGTTCGTGCGTGTGTGTGTGTGTGTGTGTGTGTGTGTGTGTGTGTGTGTGTGTGTGTGTGTGTGTGTGTGTGTGTGTGTGTGTGTGTGTGTGTGTGTGTGTGTGTGTGTGTGTGTGTGTGTGTGTGTGTGTGTGTGTGTGTGTGTGTGTGTGTGTGTGTGTGTGTGTGTACCTCTTCTCCGCTGCTGTGTATGAGGTAGATCTTGTATTGCAGACTGTTGTGCATCTTCCTGACAAGCAGCCTGGGGGGCTTCACACGGACCACAATGCCTTGCACCGTGCGGTTCAGCCTCAAAAAAGGAGAGCTGATTTTGGCTGCAGATACAATAGAATAATGTGGTTTAGTTTAATATATTTCTACACAATGTTGAAACACAGATTCAAAGTCATAAAAGAGAGACAGATTACAAAAAGACATGAAAGAAGAGATAATTTTTCAAGTTGGTTTTGCATTTCTGACATCTTTATCACCTGACATGGTGTACTTCATTCACATTTTAGACAGACTGCTTCGAACAGGACTTCAATTTGCAGGATGGGGGGTTAAATACCAGGCAACATCATAGATATGTCAAACGTATTCTTCATTTAAAAATAAAAATATTGAATTTCTCCAGAAAAAAAGGGCAAAGAAATACCGTTGCACTGAGCAAGAGACAGGTACCAGAAACAATTGATAGTTTAACAAAGTAAATGTACATATTATTTAGCAAATCGTAATTAGAGGTTTGTAAATTGAATTTCCTATTTAAAATCTGAACACCTAAAATCTTATTCTCAAATCTTTACTATAACCTCTCCCTGAGTTAAATATTTGAAACACATTTCCTCTCCTGGAAATAAAACATGAGCTACTTATATTATCATTTTCAGTTTGGTGAAGCCAGAGGACAAAGAAGAAGAGGATGATGATGATGAAGAGGAAAACATTAAACACTCACTGTCCGACCGCGGGCTGAACCTCGGGGAGAGCGTCCAGGCTGATTTGCTGGCGGGCGGAGAGGAGGCGTGCACTCTGGCGTAATACCACTCTCTGAGGTCAGAGGTCAGGGCGCTGAGGTCACACTGAGGCTTCTGGATCCTCTGACAGAAGTCAACGTCCAACCAATCAGACTCGCCATAACTGAGGAGGAGCAGAGAGAGGATCCTGTTCAGCACGGATTGTGTGTGTGTGTGTGTGTGTGTGTGTGTGTGTGTGTGTGTGTGTGTGTGTGTGTGTGTGTGTGTGTGTGTGTGTGTGTGTGTGTGTGTGTGTGTGTGTGTGTGTGTGTGTGTGTGTGTGTGTGTGTGTGTGTGTGTGTGTGTGTGTGTGTGTGTGTGTGTGTGTGTGTGTGTGTGTGTGTGTGTGTGTGTGTGTCTCACATCTTCCACTGGACGGAGTACTGCAGAGAGCTGCTGTTGCCGGGCGGAGTCCAGTGCAGAACGTGTCTGTAGTCCACAGAGTCGAACCTCACCTCGGTGGGTTTGGAGAGCATCTCTGGAGCTGAGGATGGAATGGATTACATTATGGTTTATTAGGACATGAGAGCATCAAGTGCATGAATATAAAAGGAGGTAATTGGTTTGTTATTCAAGAAAAGCTCCTATGTTAACTACAAATATAACAGGACAGAAGAACACAGAGAAAATACAAAGACAAGAAATGAAGTAAAAAAAAGTGCATGACAGTTGAAACTCCAAATTGAAAAAAAACTAATGAGGTGCAGCCAAACAATTTAGCTCCCAAAACTGCTCTGAAATAATACAGAACATTTATTATTTTGTGTTACAGAAGAGATTTTCTGAGCCATTGAGTGACTCTTTAAGAAAATGTATCAGCAAGATGTTTTTCACCTTTTAGAAAAACTGACTTTGATCCTGGTCATTTGTCTTATAGCTAAAATGTCCAACTAACAAACAAGTTAAATATGTTATTGGGGAATTAAACTGTATGTCCACATTAATACTGAAGTTTCCTCTTGTGTTTTATTTCACACTCTGGGATAATTCGTGTTTCAATGAAAATAATTGTCCATGCAAATGATTTCTAAGAATTCAGTCATCCGTTTGGTATGAAGCAGGCCGTTGTTTTTCCTTAGAAAGACTTTCACACTCAAAAACTTCTACACCATTGTTCCTGAAACACTGGCCTGAAATGTAATTCCTCGAAATCTCAGAGTTCATTTCACACTCACATTACTCGCTGATGTAATTCGCTCCTGAGCCAGAACCAACACACGTCACATTTATTTTCCTAATCTAAACAAATATATTTCCGTTTTTGTTGCTTACTGATAATAAATAACAAAATCAAATTGTTACTGATGTCTGAAAATGATTAAGAGACACTCAGTATCTGACACCATTTCACTTAATTGACTCTTTAATCAACCCTTATTATTTCCCTTTAAATGTTGCCTTTAATTATATTTTATTCAAGTGCGTTTAATCTAGTATTAGTGAGTTATTATTGGTTGGTTTATTTTAATCAAAGAGCAATACATTTGAAGTTACACTCATCACTGTGAATTAAAAAACTTTAACCGCGATCTGAGATAGAATCTGGCTGCTACTTAGAAATGATGTATCTAATATATCATATTCCAATAACTTGTATATAGACTCTTATTGCACAATTTCACTTTTTTTCTTTTTGTATTTACTATTTACTTGGACTATTTTTTTTCTGTGTTTCTGTTTTATTGTGTTGCACTGTTGGAGGAGCCTGTGACCTAAGATGTTCATCGTCATAACTACACTGTACAGTAGCTATGTTCGTATGACCAATAAAAGCCTTGAACCTTTATTCGATGTGACTTTGAAATAAATCTAGCCGGACAATAACAATCCTTATGTCATAAATCACACACAAATAAATGATATCTCACCCTGAGCGGCACTGCAGACTCCCAGGTGCCCCAGCAGCACGGCTCCCAGCAGCAGACGGCTCATGGTGGTGAGGTTGGAGGACGACAGACACAATGCTGCTGAACTGATGCTGCAGAAAACACGCAGACCTTTAACGTCCCGTCAACTTCCCCTTTTAAATTCCATGATGACCTTTGTGACACATGTTTTGACACAGAAGTACATTAACACACACAAACCTACACATGAGGATGTATTCACTGACTCGTAGTGAGAGGGTTGACCTTCATCAGCTGTTTGAAATCCATCCTTATAGAAATCAAAGAGCACTGAGGTGTGATGGTGTGGATCAAATAAAGATATGCCACAATTACAAAACATGAATCTCTCTAATAGATCAAATAAGTGCATGCCCACATAAACTCATGAAAATGTTAACCATTTATCGGGAAGTTAGTCAGAAATTAAATCTAGTTTTAATTGAATTAAAATAAGATCTCTCCTGCTATACTGACATTACTTTACGTAAATCTAAATGACTAATGTCAAAGCACACATCTAAGTTTAAGTTTGAAGTCGCTTTTCAAGTCAGAATGATTTACTTATACTAGGGGAAAAAAGTTCAAATACTATAATTCAAGTGTCCCAGTAAACCGTGACATGTGACACAAACAACACAGACGACAAGCAAATCCTAAAAAAAGTAACCCATCACATTAAAAGACCAAACATGAACAATCAAATAAGTTAATAAATAAATGGTGATAAATAAGTAAATAAATACATAAAAATCTATAAAATGTATACATTACATGTTACTTGTTAGATGCTTTTATCCAAAGCGACTTACATACTCAATACTGTGGGCAATCCCAACAGGAGCAATTTGGGGTGAAGTGTGTTGCCCAGGGACACAACGACATGCTGACTGCAGTGGCGTTTGAACCTGTGACCCCCTGATCCCAACACCAAGGCCCTATACACTGCGCCACACGCCCTCCCATATAAATACATACAAATAAATCAAATACATAAATAGATCAATAAAAAAAGTGTATGAATAGATAAAAATAAATACAAATGTATGAATAAATAAAATGTGAAGATAAAATGTTTAAATAAATAAAATAAATAAATACAAATAAATACAAATAAATACAATTTATGAATATAAATAAATAAATAGGTGTCGCTTCCACAGCATCGATGCAACGCTAATACATCTTGTTCATCATGCAATATAAGTTATCCATCATTAACTTCACACCTGACCTGTGATTTTCATATCAATAGGTTTTTTTATTCATCAAAAAAAGGTCTATTGATAGATTCTTCAAAAGAATAAATATTACGTGTATTCTCGTAAGGTGAGTGGGTGAGCTTCCTCAGGGTGACAGCTACAGGAACAAATGATAACTGGCAGTTTACTGGAAACGTGTTGCATAATGACCTCTGTGACATTAGAGAGAGGAGAGAAGCAAATGATTGACTTGTTTTATCACATTTCATGTTAACGCTTTGTGTTAATATTTAACAATATTTTTAATGGCTTTAAGAATATCTGGCTCTGTGCTAACTTTCAAATTGTTTGGGAAATTATGCTTACAAATATATTTAAGTTGAATATCAATAGCTCATGTTATGTGACCCAATGACTTCAAATCCAGTCCAGATGTTAATACTAAACTGAACAAGGACACGTCTTTTCTATTTAACTGTTTATCTATCTTTTATTAAAACATTGTTTTAAATTCAGAAATTAGACTTTTATGTAAAGGCTGAATACTCATATAAATATTAGATATATATATATATATATATATACAAAACAACACTAAATCCAATATAAAAAGAAGTGTCCTACTTGTCCAATGTAGTTATACAAATCTGCATTCATTTCGAGTCACTTGGTCACATGACATGGGAGCTATTGAAAATAAATTAGATATTTAATTAAAAGATGTACAGTGCAGTCAGATGCAATGATCTTGTATTGAAATATTTTTTTCATGATACATCAGTAAACTGAAAAGGTGTGCCTCATAATCCATTTTACATAATTGTTTTCTTAGCATATTTTCAATAATATGATAGTTATTAAAAATGACATTGGCTTTATCTCAGTTATCTTAGTGTTGTGTAATTCTACCTGTCTTTGTATGTATGTTTAACTGCTTTTGGTCTGTCACTCAACTTCAGGTCTGCAATATATAGGTTTTATTTACCTTCATTGCGTTGTCATGTTTATTTATTGCGGTTATATTGCATAGCACATACTTTCTTCATATAGTGCAGCCCTAATCCTCATCACTTTAAATAGGGGGGGGGGACCTTTAAAAGGTCATGCTTAACCAATTTCTGCCTTCAGACCTTGTAGTTAAGAATGCTAAGTAACATCCATTTTAAATTGAGTAGACATTAACACACAAGCTCTGATGGGGCGGTGGGAAATATCGGACAGAGCTGCTGCAGATTACCAGAAACTCTTTACCTGCAAGGTGGCATTTGAGGACATGTGACTACAGTAATAGTGAAGTATGTAGTGCAGTTACTGGAACCCAAAAGGTCTCCAAATCCAACTCCCACACACACAACCACTAAAGAGGAAGGAAACATTGCAAACAGACATCTAAGTGCACACACACACACACACACGAGGTCTCCCTGGGCACTGATCTAGAGGAAGGAACGTGGATAGCATGTCATGAAACAGGACGTGCATGCTGCTTCCTTTCCACAGTGACATGGTAGAATCTGACATATTTTAGTATTACTCATTAAATGTAAATTAGCTGCTTCACTGCACTGAAATACCAACTTCCCTTCCTTGATATGTAACTCTTCACATAAAGTAATTTAGTGTGTACAACATCCGCTTTATAACCACATCCTTTAGGATACAAACAGAAAAAAGAGCAAAGGTTTTTTTGTACTTTTATTGAAATGAAGTAATACTGAAAACTCACACGAGATAAACATTAACAGCGGTTTTCAGACGGAAAATGAATCATTATAAAGGACATAGGCACAGAAACTGAGGAAGCATAATTAAGAGTTAATTAGTGAAATTATAAAAACAAGTGCTCGAGGTTAATGGGCCGGCCACTTTTCCAAATCAAACGTTAACATTCAAATATCATCAGACAATCACTCCGGCTGGTCATCAAACCCGTCATTTACTCTTTGAAAATTGCAAACTGAATGTTTTACACAAATACAAAAGCACCATTTCCTTTTTTCAAAGTCAGCGTCAGCATCCAGCCTCTGTATAACAGATCTAGCTGGGAAGGCTCATCAACTCGCACAGTCTCAAGTTATGCAACACAAAACAAGTTAAACACAAAACAACAATAAGCAACTCAACAGCTGACGTTTAAAGCCCGGTAACAAGGCACAAGTAAAAATGTTAAAACATCACTTCAGTTCCTCTGGTGCAAATCCCCTCTCCTTTCATGAGAAAATGAGTTCATCGAATTCCATAAATTCATTTAAAGGCTGGGTAAAATAACTCAAACATTTTGTAACCCTGTGTTAATTGTTCAATTAACAGCCTTTATTTGGCAATAATTTAATACATTTTCGTATTAATAGTGTTTTTTGACAACTCGCCTTGAACTTGGCGGGTGTCTACATAAAAGTATCTTAAGAAATGTACTTTGGGAAATGGCCCAAACCACGGTTCAGTCTGTAAGTAGAGCAGCTAATAGAGCAGTTTGTTAACAGGAGGGAGCGTGTTTGGCTTTTAGTGAATAACTGATCCATCAGTAGTTCTCCCTCCCTCGACCAGCAGGAATACTCTCCTCTACAGATCCATATTGCTCTTCTTTCCCCTATCACACTCACTCTGGGATCCAATCAAATCTGACTTGCATCAACTAACCCCCCCGAATATTTCATTTAAGTCAAAGAAATGTCACAAGTCACTGTTGTATATCTGTGACTTTAAGGTGCAACTAGCATAATGAGAGACTAAAGGATTGGATTCAGGTAGAAAAGACGCGCTAATACAGAGAAAACAGTACTGTGACTACTCAGCACAGTTACTGCTGAACATGGGGTCAACAGATAATAATGCATGATTAACAGATGCTTAGGATATAACAGTATTTACAGAAAACGTTAATAGTTTTACTTCCATGCGCATTACAGAATATAAAGCACAGTTACTCCCTTTAAGTCACTAAACTAGGATTCATTGAAAGATGTGTTTTAGTGACGCTTTTGTTTTTGAGTAACAGTTGAAACCGTGACATTTAAATTCAGAGGTAAATGCAACAGTCAGTGAAGAGGTAATGCCGTCATGAGAAGCACTTTAAAGAGCTCTGCAGAAAAGATGCTTATCTTCACATTTCTCTCAGATATGGCAGCTATGAATCATTCACATCTCCTTTCATGAAGCTCCTGTGGAGGTTGCATGCACTTATTACTAAGCCAATCACAGGTAATTCAGCTGATTTGGCAGCTACTGGAAATGTTAAGCATGCAGGCATGAGAGGATGCAACATTTGAAACAAATATCAGAAATCAAGAACTTAAATGAACAACATTACGACACTGACACTGGTGACTGATCTGATTTTAGCAATTCATTTGATCGATATTATACAACACATCTGTAAGGCCATTTTAATTTGTAACCTTAGTTGCTTGCTCTGACACATTAGTGCAAAGTCAAATGTAACTGATGTCTGAGTGCACCTACAGGAGGGACGTTCCTGGTTCTCTGTTCCCTTGGAGACGGTCTGACAAGGGAACAACCCAAACCACCTGGAATTTGTAACCGCGACTGAAAATCGCTGTTTAGGGTTAAGATTTTCCAATTTGAATGACAGGTGATTGCAGACGAGTTCCCTTTTTTTGACCCAACTTCAAACATTCGATGTGCCACAATGTTCGGAAGTTACAGCCTCAGCCGCGGTATCCCTCCGCCGTTTCGCCCGGAGCCTACGACACCACCCCCGCGCGCTTCTCATACCCAGAGGGCGCCTCAGCGACCTCCAGCGGCTCGTCTGGCTCCAAGTCTCTGCCCTGCGTGTAGCCGGATCCTTCATCGGTCGCCACCTCCACGCTGTCAGAAAGGCCTTTGTCTGCCTCTGCCGACACGCCGCAGCGCATCCGGAGCACGGAGTCATCGCAGGGATTGATGAAAGATGTGACGTCTTTCTCCTCGTCCATCAGTGTGGGAGAGCAGGGCACCACTTCAGGAACAAAGATCTTCTCCTGCAGGTATCCTTTGCTCTCAGGCATTCCTTTGGCTGCGAATTTCTTTAAGACGAAAACAGAAATTGTTAGATGGAAGTGTGGGTTAAAAATACAATTGTTAAAGTAAAATAGGAGTTGATGATAAGAACAAAGCCCACAAAGAATTTTGGTATAGAAGTTGCTGCATTGGTCTTTTTTCGGTAGACCATGAAGAGGACAAAAGCAACCGCACTCGAGATCAGCAGGACGCCCACCACCCACATATGGACGAGATCTAGAGGAAACAGATAGGAAGTCAATATATTTATAGACTCACTTAAACACACATTTTTAGCAAAGAAACCAGTAGCTCTGAATCTGTGTTCAGTCCAACCCCTGCAGTAAACGTGACAAAGTGTCCTTGTGCAAGATATTGAACCCCAAGTTGCTATCATAACGATGTTTAAAAGCGTCAACCAAATACCAAATCATTTGATGTAATGGGTTCTTGACAGAGGTGTTGTACTGAAAGAAGCAAGGAGGGCAAACCAACCAATATTACTCTGTCGGGTAAAACAGAGGAATATAAATAGATTGAAGCTTTAATCAAATGTTGATCTAAACGTTCGAATGCTGCGTGGCTTCTTTTGGACATTCTGTTCAAACTTTTTTTAGATTAAGATAAACACTTTCCAGATTCCAGGTGTGGCTGCATAGGAGTGATGCACGGTAAAATGGGTTAGGAATATATCACAGGTTTGGGAGGACTGGTGACAAAGAAATAATAATAATACAAAAACTTTATTTGTAGAGCACCTTTCATACACAGGGTGCAGCTCAAAGTGCTTCAACAGGAAGCTCTTCTGTATAAAAGTACACTTTTATACAATAGTCCGCCTCCTTAAGGCGTGAGTTTTTGAAAACATTATTTTTAAAAGTTTAATTCCAGCTAATATGAATTGAAGCAGAATGAATTTGGGAGAATACTATCTTGACAATTATCTTTCCTATAATGCGTTGATGTGCATCTTAAAGGTCCCCTATTATACTGTTTTGCATTAATATAGTATAGGTCTCAGATATATACAAAACATGTCTCTGAAGTGTTTGGCTCCAAACACCAAACAGATCATTGCAGCATTACCCATAATCCCCTCTGTTTCAGCCCTGTTTCAAAAGTGCTGATTCTCTGTCTGTCACTTTAGATGAAAATAAGGAGCCCCTCCCCACGCCCCTCTGAGAGATATTTGGTTCAAAAGAACACAATGGTGCTCTAGGAGGAGATTCAGGTGATAAGGTGTGGGGGGGGGTTACCTTGGTTAGTGATTGGCTAATGGTTACACAACCCAAAACATCGTTATGACATCATAAAGTGGCCGAAATCTGATCAGCTCATTTTCAGACAGGTTTTTATATAAATGGATCAGGACAAAAAGTGAGCGAATCTTTTTTCCTGAAACTTTCAGAATCTCTTTACACAGAGGGGACACATGATGTATAAAAGACATGAAAACGTGGATTTTGCATAATAGGTGACGTTTAAGTAGGAAACTAACAAAATAAAAAAAATAAGAAAATGTTACTCAACAGCTTGGTGGTTCTTTGTATGGCGCGGCGCAGACCGGTCGGAGGGTTTTCACTAACATCTTCTTCAGCTCGCCTTCGACTGTCACACAGTGTTTCTCCTGAGAAGCGGCCACTGTGAAGTTCATCTCACACACACTCTCCTCACAGACAGATGGGTGGTGTTCCTTCTGCACACACACACTTATAATGGTAAGCAGGTGTGCAACTATTCATACAAATACTTCATTTACAGAACTCAGTAGGATTACTTTCACTTGACATGTAGTGCAATGTATTTCATCTATGTACTTGGGTTTTGTTTGTATATTCTAGTTTATTCTGACTTGTAAACAATCTGTTTTTGAGATCTTCCAATGAAATACGGATGTAGATGAGCATTTAAGCTAACGCCTGTATTTCACATCATGTATGTTTATACTGATGTTCATTAAGTTGCACAGTCACCATCAAATAAGCAAATACAAATATGAAGTGATAATTCCTGCTAACTGCTATGACCCTGAGATATTTGCTCATGCTTTATCAATGCCATAAGAAACTTCAGAAGGTGATAGAAGGTCTGACCTGGTGGTGGACCACCTCGACCATGTATCCAAATACGGGGAGCTCTTTGCTGATCTGGCCATCCTTGTTCTTCTTGCTTTTCTGACTGCTGGGCCTCTTGATTTCATACAACAGCCAGGGATGCATGAAGCGGACCAGGATTTTGCCATCATGTAGGGTCGTGACGTTTACTGAAGGGAGGTCAAGAGAACCTGAAAAACAAACATCACCATTTCTGAATTGTAATTTAGCTTTCATGTTGACTTTAGCACATTAGTTGCTCCATAGCTCCGCTAGAGGTGAAAACCTTCACATGTTACTTTTAAAGGGGACCTGTTCTGTTCACTTTCAGGTTCATATGTGTATTGTGTGCCTCTACTGTGACATTTTCACATGCTTTAATGTTCAAAAAGGTCTTTATTTTTCTCATGCTGCAGCACCTCTTTTCACCCTCTGTCTGAAACCAGAGCCCAGTGTGCTCTGATTGGCTAGCTGGCCGGCTCTGTTGTGATTGGTCAACCGCTTAGAGATGTCCGAATATTGTTTGGACATGTTGGTAAACTCATTTAAAAAAAAGTTACATTTCAAAAATGTTTCCCAAATTGGGATCAATAAAGTACTTCTTATCTTGATAGTAAGCTTAGACAATAAGAGCGAACGCAGAGCACGGGTGGGAAGAAGCGACATGCTAATCACATTAAATATGGCGCTAGCAAAGCAGCGAGAGGTGATGAGAGGTTCTATTCTATTTTATTGTATTTACTTGTACTATTTTATCTGTTTTATTGTGTTGCACTGTTGGAGGAGCCTGTGACCTAAGATTTTAACTACACTGTACTGTAGCTATGCACACATGACAATAAAAGCCTTGAAACTTGAAACTTGAATACCCCACAGATCGATTAAAAAATAACTAATCAATTCAGTGTCTGAATTGTATCAATGTGAAACATGATGAAGGCGACCCCTGACATTAATGCCTGAACAGTGTTCTGACAATGATAGCTATCTTAACATGTCTGTTACTAACATGTTGTTTCTCCTGTAACTGTTCACCTGTCAGCCCAACAGAACCCCCAGGACAAAACTCAAATATTAATATATAAAAAAGGGTTAGTGAAGTCAGCTTGTTTTCTTCTACAATGCCATCAATGCTCACATGTTCTTATATCTAGAGCGTCCTTGAAATAGCTGAATTCTATTGAGTCCGGAGGGGCGGAGTCAGACTCATTCTTTCCAATCACAGCAGTTACGGAAATTCTGTATTCGTTCCTGGGATCAGAGAGAAACGACACGTCGGCTTGCTTCGCTGGCGGATCCACCCATCTTACATCGGGAGATCTGTGGAAACCAATAAGAGAGAAAAGAATATGAGTATCTCAAATCAGAGACTATAATCATGTGTTCAAGTTTTAAGTTAAGAAGAACTTTAAGAAGTTTTATAAAAGTAGTTACTAACAATGCTTTTTGTTAGGAGCCAATAATAAAAAATGTGTGTATTAATTCAAAGAAAACTATTTCAAAGCCAAACCTAAAATTTGATTTGAACATGACTATATTTAAAATTGTGAAAAACTATTGCGAGGATATCTTTAATTTAAATATCCATGTTTATGAACAATTAAACTGTGAGTCTTGATCAAAATACCCTTTAAAAGAGCAGAATCCTTTAGTCTAACCCCTTAACACATTCTCCATTAGTGTGCTGTTGGACATAGACTATTTAGAAAACTAAGTCAATGGGGTATTTTCTGGTGAAGTCTGTACTGTATATGCAGAACAAAGTCTGATCCAGGATTGCTGTTATCTGAATAAATGTTTTTTTTTTTAATGTTGCAGTGTTTGTTTGCAGAGTTTAAAGCAGAGATCAACCTAAACAATACACCTTTTAACAGCCAAAGACAGAATAATGCGTACAAAGGAAATGCACAAACCCTCCCGTCGAGCCGATATTGACTCTGAATCTGAGCCCGGGGACGAGCTGGTCGTAGTCCCACCGCAGCACGTTGTGCATGTTGTGGCACTCCAGGGTCACGTTGGCCGGCGGCTCCACTGTGGACACACAAACACCAGGGTGAGGAGATTTTAAAGGCTTTCAAATTCACACTGAACACCACCTCAAAATTAATATCAGTCTGTTAAGAAAATATCACTAGTCAGGATACATTTATTTATTATCCTTGCAAGAATGGAAGTAGTCATGACACACAGAGCATATGGGACACCTAGTTCCTGAACAGTGTCCTTCACATGCTGATATACAAGAGAGGGAGTTACACGGTGACAAGATACATGTATACCGGTTCAAAGCAGTATACAATGTTTAGTTTAGATTAGCTAAGGCCTACGTAAGCAATAAACATGACAGTCATAAGTCTATCTCCATAGGGGCTGAATCATCATGTTAATCACATAGCTATCATATGCCTAAAACAGTGTGTCCTGACGCTCTTCTAGGTAATCATACATCCTGTTACGTACACAGCTACGTAGGGCCTTTATTATCATGTGTACTCTGATATTGGAAGAGTACATTCAGTATTTTCCCAACACAGTCCAATAAATTATGCCAAAGGAGAAGTTCCCTTACTCCAATATAACTTTTTGCTCATAGTAATAATTGACCATGGGTATTTTCACTAACACAAACCTCCCACTAGAGGGAACTGCATTCAAACTCATATGATATACTCCTGCTTAACCTCTTTGAGTGGGTCTACTTTGCCCACACAGACACAAAAGCTAAAAAAAGGAAGTAATGTCAGGACATTTAAGGATTTAAGCCAATGTGGAAATTGCAGATTTGTATATTTTTTCACATATAATCTACAAGAAACTTCATGCAGGTCTCCTCTGACACTGAGAAAAAAGAAACTCCCCAAAGCCTGCACATACCGGTACTTAAAAAAACAAACATTGATTTCACTTTGAAAAGTGGGCTGATCTTCACTTCAGCTCTTTCACTTTCACTGAATGTACATTACAAGAGACCAAATTACTGTAAAAGCAGGTTCAACCATTGTGGTGGATACTTGTGAAAATATTTGTGGTGACCTGTTACAGGAAACCATGCCTCAGAGCATTGCACAACTACTGTCCACACACACCACAAACAATTACTAATAAAATGTGAACAATGACCTTGGCCTGGGAAGGTCATTTAAGGAAGTTCAATAAAAAAGACAAAGGCTTCAAATCATCTTCGGATGTGTTCCTTAACACTCCTTCAACAGATTGTTATGAGTCACCCCCGTTATCATCCATTTCAGTTTCAATTCTTCTGTCAACTAACATTTGCGTTCAGGCACGTGATAACAAACGCCTACACAAATACCAAAGCCTCAAATCTAGGTTGAGACGTGAGAAGGTGTTAAAGGGAAATCTCAGATGGGGCGTGTGAAGTTTAAAGAAGTGCTAACCGCAGCAGTGAAGTCGGTCTCTGAGGCGTTCACCACATTGCAGCACGGGGCCACACGTGTAACCACGCCATTTCACTTCAGCATTTAACTTCCGTTTCAACTTCTCATAAGTGTTTTCTGAACACCATCTGAAAATGCAAAAGAAAAAGAATGACTCCGAACTTAAAGTAGGCATATAGTGGCGCATTCCCACTGCTGGGCCTCGCAGGGCCTCGCAGGGCCTCGCACGGCTTAGTACGGTATGGTATGGTTAGGCCAGGCTCACTTCATGCTGCGTTTCCATTACAGTTTAGTAGCTGGGGCAGTAACTATAGTAACGCAGTGTAGGCGGAGCCGTGACGTCATCTTCAATACGCGAACCACAGAAAACCAACATCAGCCGTTAGCCCTCAGAGCTCACAGCTCCTCATATCTGTTCAGAAACTAGACAAAAGTTAAACAAGTACAAACCACAGACTGCCTGTGTCATGGCGAAAACAGTCGCTGGTTTATTTATGTCTGTATAGGCCGTTGTTGTGAGTGTGGACGGTCGGAGCATATACTGCGTTAGCTTAGCCGATCTCCATTTAGAAAACACGCATTTTAAAAGGTTTTTTGCCTGCCGTCTGTCTGCAGACTTGTCAAAGCATTAATTCATGGTTTTCACTAACCGGTATCAGTATGTTGTTACTTCGGCATCGTTTTGAAACGTGTATTACAATTAAATCACGGTAAAATATGTTCATTTTGTTGTAGTTGTAGCCCCCTTGCCAGCGATTCTCTCACTAGTTTAGCATACTCAGCCCGGTTGTTGGCCCGGAAAGAACCTGGATTTTGGAGGGCCAGAAAAACATTACTCGTTAGCCGGAACTACCCCTAGTGGAAACGCAACAAAAAAACGGGCCGGGTTTGGCACAGTGGAAATGCGCCATAAGTGTTTACCATTAAATCTAGTCTGAGAAAAATGATTTAAAATATTGAAAAACTGGCTTGACCCTTAAGAGTCCCTGGGGCCATTTTTCAGCCATTCGGGTTTTCATGTTCATGCCATTTTGGCTGTGTTGAATGAATATTGCTCAAACTTGCCAGAGGATATTCTTTTTTAGTTGTATATTGAATTGTGGTCTCAGTTTTTTTAAATTAGCCTAAAATGGCTAAGCTACACAAAAACCGACACATTTGTTCCTAGCGGCAAAAAATGCCCCATTGAAAATGCTTTTTTTGACCCCACATTTATCTTATCATAAACTCTTGATTTCCTTTATGTTAAGATTTCATTTTGGACTTCTAGCTTTCAATTTTCACATTTGTCTACAAGATGGCGATAATTTTAACCCTTTGAAGCCTGTAGCAAAATGTCACCCTTTTTACTGTTTTCTGTAAGGGTCACTTGCTACTGAAATTATATGCGTGTGTCGCTTTTGATTTTGGATAATGGTATGTGTGTGCGTGTTTGTGTGTGTGCGTGTTTGTCTGTGTGTGCGTGTCCAACTTCAAAATACTTTTCTCTTAGAAGGCCACACTGCGTAATAATCTAATTCAATAATAAAAACAATGAGTTGCGAGAACCAAAACAAAATTGGACTTTGTTTTGGTTCTCGCTCAGGTTGTTTATACAGGTGCAATGCAGCCATGGTTAGAAGTATTACTATTAGTGCAGGAGTAGTCTTTTTGGAGATGGCAAGGCATTACAGCACACAGGAGGCTCTGGACATCATCATGCACTCTGATTGCGAGGATGGCTCCTCATCCTCCTCCGTGGACCCTGAGGCTGACACAGAAGAGGCCTCAGAGTCCACGGAGGACGCTTCAGAGGTGGGAACAGACCAGCTAGAGTCCAACTCAGACTCATCTGAAACTGAGAGCGGAGGGGAGTTGGAGGAAGCAGCTGCAGGATGGACTTCAAAAAATGTTTTGGTCTCCCACAAACACTGAGAAGCTCCGCTACGTCCCAGCAGCCAGAAGTTTGATCCCGGGACCAACACACTATGCTGTCATCCAGCTTTGCACTGCTGCTGACAGATGACATCCTGCAGCGTGTTGTGTCCATGACAAACCTGCATGGGAGACGGTCAATTGCAGAGTGGCGAGATATGGACACAGAGGAACTGCAGGCTTACGTGGGGCTGCTCATTTTGGCCGGTGTTTACAGGTCAAAAAAATGAATCGACCCTCAGCCTCTGGAGTGAGAAATCGGGACGGAGCATTTTCCGAGCCACGATGTCCCACAAGAGGTTTCACCAAATCAGCCGAACACTGCGGTTCGACGACAAGCTATCCCGACCGCGGCGCCGTGATGACAAGTTGGCTGCCTTCAGCAAAATCTGGGATATGTGGACACACCACCTGCCGATGCTGTTCAGCCCATTCAGCGACGTCTGCGTGGATGAACAGCTCGTCCCATTCAGAGGCAGGTGCAGCTTCAAGCAGTACATGCCAAAAAAGCCGGCCAAATACGGTATAAAGATTTGGGGAAACTGATGTAAAATCATCCTACGCCTGGAGACTGCAGGTGTATACAGGCAAAGCAGCTGGCAGTCGTCCTGAAGTCAACCAGGGGATGAGGGTGGTCCTGGAGATGACAGAGGGGCTTCCAGGTAGACATCATTACCTGTGACAATTTGTTCTCGTCCTTCGCACTGGCTGAGGAGCTGCTCAGGAGAAAACTGGCCCTGGTTGGCACAATTCGCCGAAACAAGCCTGAGCGTCCCCCTATTTTGCTCCAGGCAAGAGCGAGAGTGATCCTCTCCTCCACCTTTGCCTTTACGAAGACCCACACACTGGTCTCTTACATCCCTCGACGGGGCAGGAATGTGCTGCTTCCAAGCACGAAACACCGCAGTCCAGACGTAAGCGACGAAATGAAGAGAAAGCCAGTCATAATCAAAGACTACAACCGATGCAAAGGAGGTGTCGACAACATTGATAAGGTAGGTGCCATTAGGCATCAGTTATGCACACATGTATTCTTACTCTTATATTCTTGTCTGAAATATATGTAGGTTTTTTTCAAATGAGCATTTTCCTATAAAATAATTAATATTTGCATCATGAGAGAAAATGCTTGGAATCATGTATTCAAATTGTCTTTTATGTTTTTGTTAGGTTGTTGCCACCTACTCCTGCAGGAGGAGAACAAATCGCTGGCCACTTGCCCTCTTCCACAACCTGGTTGACATTTCCCATTACAACGCCTACGTCCTGTGGACATCAATCGAGCCATCCTGGCAGCAGCAGAAACCGTACAGGAGGAGGCTCTTCATTGAAGAGGTGGGAGAAATGCTGGTGACCCCACACATCAAGAAGAGAGGGCGCCTTCCCCGCTCATCAGCGGCTGCAACAATGGTGTCAGATCTGCAGGGTGCTGCTGCAGGCCCCTCTCTCATCAGTGAACGGAAGAGCAGGAGGCAGTGCCACTTTTGCATGGACAGAAGAGTTTGCAGCACCTGCTGCAAATGTGGGAAATTCATATGCAAGGACCACAGTCTGTCCATTTGCAGCCTGCTCGACCTGAGCTGAACTCTCACAGCCAGACACACAGTGTTCATTCAATGTTCATCTTTGTAAAATAAATGTTTTTCTGGTTCAAAATGATCTTGTATTATTCATTTTAGTCAGGCTGGAGTAGTTTTAAAAGATTTACTCTTTGAAAGT